CTAGTCCAGGCGGGTCTTGAATATCTCCAGAGAAGAAGACTCCACAGCCTCCCTGGGCAGCCTGTTCCAGGGCTCCATCACCCGCAGAGGGAAGAAGTTCTTCCTCATGTTCAGATGGAGGCCACATTTTGAAAAACCAAACACAACAGAACCCATTTAAAATGAAAAGCAATTTTTGCCCCCAACAACTCATCACTCATGATGGGACACTGCAGTGAAACCAGGTTCTTTTGTTCCTCACTGCGTTAAGCAGCTTTCACCACGATCAAGTTCATCACAGGTGGGCCCTGCTGTACTGGAGAAGGTTCCAGTATTGGTTCCGTGTTTTCTGTGGAGCTGTGCAATTTTTCTTTTTGCAATATCAGTATTTTTCCACCAATGTCAGTAGGCTATGAATCACAGCTGAAAACAGATTAAATACATTTCCTTACGCTAACTCACTGGCAGTACCTTATCATCCAGTTCTGCAACAGCAGCGCAAAGGTCCACCAGGTTAGGCTGCAGGTGTCCGTTCACTATCTTCTCATTATAAACATAAATCTAAAACATATTGAAAGTAAGCAAGTTCCCCCTCCCCAGCCACAGCAGCAAAATCCAAACCAGGCTTCCAGAACAGTGTCCCCAGCAAGTCCCTTCTGCTTCCCTCCCACATTAGCCGCTTCTCATCCGACGCAAGAGGAGCAGGCATCAGCACCAACCACGCTTCCACAACCCAGCAAAGCTCCAGGCCTGCCTGAAGGCGGGCAACAGTCCAGCTGCTCAGGGGTTCTGCACGGCAAAGCACTGCACTGAATGCCCTGCTAGACTAATTGCAGCTAATTGTTGGAGGACAAAGATTCGGAAGAGACCTGACAACTAGACGGCTGTGATATTCCCCTGCATGACAGCCTCCTACCTGCTGACATAAAAGAAACAGAGTTTCACTGGTTTGTGGCAGTATTCAGGGAAATTTGACACAGGGAAATGAGAACAGAAACTCGGCCCTTCAAAATCTGCCCTTAAATGTATATACACATGCATACACCCATTTTGATGTAAAACTTGGTCTTAATTCAGCTGCTTCTACTATTGTTTATTCTACTCTCAGCCTAAAGACCTTCCAGCTACGTCTGAAAACAAACATTCTCAATGTTAGAAAGGCAGTGCCGTCGTACTTCAAGCCCCTTTTGCATGCACTACTTCCACATGCCCAGCGTGCAAACAAAATGCAGAGCTCCGGACTGCAACCAGAATCTAGCATCAAAGAAATCACGTATATGGACTTCACCAGGTTTCTGTGAAACAGTTTGACCTATCCATGAAGAACAATTAATTATTTCAGCGTAAAACACATTTCATGGCTGTCGATAAACTGAAACAGCACAGACTGCCTGCTCCCCAGGACTCTAAATGCCCCACTGAAACCACAGGAGCCCACACCCAGTGCTGAAGCCCAGGTATTTTTGCACCCAAGCAGTGTGACATTAAGGACGGCTCAGCCAGGCCAGCTTCTCCAGAGGGCTTCCCGGAAGCACACGGCGACGGCACCGAGTGTTTTGGCAGCAGAAGCCTGGCCCCGAGAGCCGTGTTTCCACAGCACTGGGCAAGCAGCCTGCCCGCAGCCCATACAGCTGCCGAGAGCCCACCTGCCCTCCCACGGGGAAGACGCGGTGACTTTGCACTGCTAGAGAGGCTGGGCTCCCCATATTCACTAAACATCAGGGAATATTGACGATAGCCTCAAAGTATGGAAATAATTATGCTATGAGGAAGACCTTTAATGCAGGTGTATTACAGTAGATATGAAACAAATTAATGTACTATTAACCACCACTAAATCAAATGTACGCTTTATCAGTACAGCCACGCACCTTATATTGCAATTAACTTCTTCACAGTTACCATAACTGAATGCAGACACAGAAACACAGATGTACGAGCCGCTATCTGTCTCAAAGACAAGCCAATGCACACAACAACAATAATTGTGTGCAAATTAGGCGACGCTTTGTCTATGTCGCTTCACATATTGCATTTTGAAAAATCAAGTCCTTCTCTTTCATTTGGTTTCCAACAGTGCTGGTAAACAGATCATCTCAAACAACAAAAGTAACAAATTGGTTATGTAAAGGTTTATCAGTTTTCCCTAAAAATTTTCAGAGGGAGTCTAATGCTACCAGACATATTAATTCATAGCTGATGTGCTACAGCTGCTCATAAGCGATACCACTAAAATGGGATAAAATTTGACAAACATCAGGACTGAGACTTCAGCATGTTTTTCCTACATGCACACATCAGAAATCTTCCACATGTGAGAATAAAAGGAATAGAGTCTTCTTTGCATACAATTATGCACTGACACAAATTCTAATCAGCTTCTTTTTTTTTAAAGGCTAAAAGTGTTTCAGTTTACTATACAAGCACAAATGATTTCTACAGTCCTGTATGGTGCTCAGGACCTCCTTTGGACAAAAAAAAAATCCTGTAGCACACAAGTGAGTACATTGCTAAAAAGTCAGGCTAAACTTCTGTATTTTCCAATTGCATTTTACCTCCAGGCAGGTATTTTCATGTTTTACCTCACACATTTTCTTACGCACTACACTTGCAGATCTTTTTTTACCCCCACCTCTCTCCCTCTGTAGAAAACAAGTTTTAAATATGTTTTATCTCATTTCCACTCACCTGACGAGCATACGCCATCTCCACATTGTCCAAAGAGCTGCGACCTGGAGGACCCAACTCACCAACGTAGCTACGCTGTTTAATGAAAAGAATATACGGAGGTATAAGGTATAAAGTTACTGCAATGCATTTTACCAACATTCACTCCTAAAGACCAACAGCTAAACCATGATCCTGACAGCACTAAGAACAGGGTTTATGAACTATCTACAGAGTAAAATGCATAGTCTCACTGGAATACCCCATTATCTTCCAAATATAGCTTAAACTTCCTGAAGTGACAGAAATCCTCCTGATTCAGTGCAAACCAGCCATTAGCTCTCTAGAACTAGGACATCAGCATCTCTCGATAGCATCTTATAATTTTAATTCTTTCCTTTTGTTTCTTGAAAGGTTGCTTATTGTCACGCTAGTGTCTTGCTGCGAAGCATCTAGTCTGAACGTCCATCACAGCAAGGACACAAAATTCAGTGAACCAGCTCAAATGGATCCAGTCTAGCAAATCTGACACTCTAGTTGTGCCCCAGTCCCATTTTGCAGACACAAAAAGGAACTGTAGCATTGAATTATGTGCTGAACAGTGCCCCGCTGCTGGTCAGCTGCAGGAGGAAGGATGCTGGCAATATCCTGACCTGAAAAAAAATCATCTTTCTACTGACAGACTATGCCAGGATTGTGATATTCTCAATGCAGAGCAGGGAGGGACAACTGATGGAGTCATGGCATGGAAAACTTGTACTCTTTTATAAAACTCAAAACACAACTTGCCATAATAGTCTAATGCTGCATATTCTTGTAAGTCTTCACTACCAATCACAGGTATGTTTTCAGTATAGCCACCCCTGAACACAGATGTTCACCACTCTGGAAGAAATAATCGTCCCAATTAAGTGTGCAAAACTCTGATGCTTCCTCTTTCCTGAAAATGTAGTTCTTCATTTCACCATTAGCATTGCAAGTCTGGGGTTTGAAAAACAAAGTGCAATCATTTTAGAGACAGATCCTTTTGAGGTGAGCAGTCCTTTAATATCAGCTGCTTCCTAAGCAGTGCTACAGCCATGATGGTCTGAAGATCAAAGCAAGACAAGCTCAGTACAGAAGCATAATATTTATTATGAAGTCAACTGACATAGTTAGGGCAAGCACAGAGGAACAGACAAGCTTGCAGAAAAGCAAGCATGTTTTCAGGTCCAAAACCGAAGCAAAGGTCTTCGAATTCCAGACTTTGAACCCAAAAGCTCATTTGACTCTCCCAGGTGCAGCTGGTCTGAGAACAAGACGTCACCTCTGCGCACAAACCTTGCTCAGCATACTTCAGGTGTCTAGCTTAGGTGCAGTTACAAGGATCTCAGACGGTTGTTTACTTCCCCCAGGAGAGAGGATGCAAAGCACGTAAGCTAAACACTGGAAGCGGCCGAGCAAACGCTGAGAAGGGCTGTTGCTGTGCCTTGGCTTGTTACCACGTAACCCCAGTTCATCGATATTCCTCTAAACTGGAATCAGTAACTTTTTCTGAGAAAGAGCAGGTACATCCGCAGAGTTTTAAAATTAACGTTTTATTACCGACTAAGTTGGCTGTGGCTAGCTGCACATCCTCATCAGCTGTTACACTGCACCTTAGCAATACCAGCAAATAGCTTTACTTTTTCTCACATCAGTTACCCAGAATATCAGTACTTTACTGCGTAGATAGGATCACCTTCGAGTACTGCTCAAGGACATGCTCTAGTCTTTCCTGAAAGAATTCAGTTAAATGCGAGCAACTTGCTGCCAGTACAAACAACATAAAGCCCAAATGCAATGGAAAAATCATGGTTTTCACTTTCAGTTTAACCAGCTTTAGGGTTCAGCTCTGCTGACATCCGTCAGACCACTGCTCCTGCCATGACTTGGCTTGTGCGGATTTCAGGGCAAGGGCTGAGAAACGGGCAGCTTTTCTCCAGACACTGTCATCACTCAGTTGCTTGTTCCAAATGAGAATGAAATGCTGACAGGGTCTTCAGAAGAATCTCACTTTTTGGGGAACTGTACCAGACTTCGAAACGAAATCATACAAGCATACGAACTTCCAGACATGTTACTGATCAGTCTACGCACTGAACAATCTCTCAGTCATGAGACTGAATGACTACAATTTTAATTTGATGTCCGTTTAACTCAGGTTATCTTCTCTGGTGCTTACACTCCTGAGCGTGTGTTCTTGCAGAGACAATGCCTATCCACTGTCCTACTCCAGGAGTTTTGATCAGGAAAATTTTCGCAATTGTAAATTTAAAGACCAATGAAGCGACACAGCTGCAATGGCCAAGAAGCTGTTCCGAGTTAGCCAGGAATTTATACGTGAAGATAAGGGCATTGACCTCCATTGAGAAATTAAGAGCTTTGTGGTATTTGTGATCTTCCTGCACGCCATACAACAGTTGATTACAGAATGAAAAATATTCAGCTGTGTTTTGTCACTGATACAGCGAAACAGAAATGAATGAAGGTAGCAAAGATGAACCCGGACAACCCTTTAACATTCCTGGAATTAGTTCATCACTGCCTTAATTTCACACTAACAGTGCAGTTTAAATTATGTTCAACCTGATTATAAAATCAGGCAGAGGCATTCAGACCTTAGGCATTATAAAAATGCCTTACCAAAAACTCCAAAGAAATCTCACTTTTTCTTTTTGCAGCTGAACTTACACTAAAAATACTCTTCACAGTCACTTCTAATGGATACTGATATTCAGAAGCATTTGCATTTCCCTTTCAGTGCCAAATCATCTGACACAAATTCCTTCAAATCCACCTAAAAACCCGACAAATTCTTTGTTCTAAAGAACAAAGAAGCTGTTAAAGCAGGTTTCCTGGGAAACAGACATCATGGCAGAAATAGCGCTTTGCAGCCTTCCTCTATGCTGTGCCAGATAAATTGCAGAGTTATTTAAAGTAACGCTAAATTATGGATGTTGTCATTAATTACTGATGAGGTTTCATCTTCTAAAGCAAGTGAAGAAGGGTACATTGTGACTTAGTGTCACTTTTCAACCAGTGCCCAAACACCAGAAACATAAGCACTGGGGCTTTCTTTTGCGAGTCTGGTTCCTTTTTCTCCTGCTGCTGCTTTGCAGCACCAAGGAGCACCCATGTGGCTGCCGCTCCAGAGAGCGGAGTGTGACTGACGGGGTAAAGCCCACAGGTAAGGATCTGAATTCAAAAGCGTATGCCTGAAACTAAGAAATAACTGCTGAGGTTTGGGGGTTTTTCCTTGCTCCAATTTTAATTTTACCCTCACCGTTATGTTTTGAGGATCACTTATTACCAATCTGCCACAGCTGAGAACTTCCACATTGAAAGTAAAATCTTTAAATGCCCACTACTGACTTGGCACTTCAGCAAGGAAAAAATTCAGGAGCTCCAGAATTTCTCTTGCTTTTCTTTCCTATGCCAAGAGCCATGGGAGCAGGCTTATTTCCTATTTTTACCATCTCGTACTTGAATTCTGGCTTCATCCTTGCATTATTAAAGTTAAAAAAAAAAAAAAAAAAGCCCACACCCATGTGACCTTCTTTAGGTCGGGTTCTGAAATTTCAAAAGGAAAACTAAAGCTGTGAGTCAGCGTGGGGAAGGCCGTTTCCACTCTTCACCCTGAGTTGCAGAAATGGAGAGCTGCACACGCAATCCTTCTGAAGATGGTAACCAGCGCCTGAAGAGGCATCCCCTACAAGCTACGGGGGGGATTTGGGGAAGGGGGAGGACATCCTTGGGTGGCAAGTCAGAACTTGCCAAGTTTTCAAGCAAGGAAAAAGATTATGAAAGATGTGTTGAAAACAGCAGCTAGGTACATATGGGAAGAAATGTTTCAGGTCGGCTTCTTAAGCTTAACTGGAGCAGCAAAAAGGAAAAATAGGAAAGTGGGTAATGCACAAAGGACTGCAGACATGCAAATGCACACTCATATCTTTCTACATCTCTAGTCTGGTATTGCTTAAATGACTTGTGCTGATTTTATCAACCACATTTGCTTCTCCCTGCCCTGAATTTAGGTCTTCCCAAAACATTCTTCAGAACTATAATATTTATTCTGAGTATTATCCATTTGCGAAAGCTGCAGCTATACTGCTCTGCCATCACGTTTTTATCTTTTACATTCATTTAGCCTAATGATACTGCTTTTCAGAGGAGTCCTCCTTCATTTTCACTCAGCCAAGCATTCAGCCTCAGTTGCACACCAAACCGCGTGCATATAAAGATGCATTATTCAACACCCTCATATGCATATGCACATTCCTCAGCAGAAGTCTGGGCAGACATTTTGTCAGCACTCCAAATGGCTTGGCCAGTAGATGCAGTGAACAGCCAGGCAGGCAACTGAGCTGGACGAACACCATCAAAATCCACTGCGGAGCAGCAGGGGAGGAAAAGCATCTTGCGGTCCTCGGGACTGAAGGGATATGAAGACATGATACAGAGGGGCAGAACAGAAACTGAGCAAACAGCGTCTCTCCATCACTGCGGTAGCGGGTTGCTTGACAGCAGGAGTGGGAGAGCTTGGGGTGGGGGTGGAAGAAAGATAAACCTGGAATAAAAGGACAAAAGAAATGCCTCGGCACCTAGTGGAAGACGAATCGGAACAAACACCTTGAGACCACAGGTGTGTGATACCTTGAAAACTAAACTTGGGATTTCCTCCCTTTTCTCCCCCAAGACGCACCTTTTTATTAGCTCTGGTTTTCCCTTACAGTAAGGACTCCGGGCTAGAGGACTGAGGGGAGCAGAAAACCCTAACGGCAAGTCCTTCGCTAGGTTCTTTGAATCATGAGCTTTGCCTGTTAATTGGTCTTATTTCCATGAATAATGTGTTGGTATTTCACTCTGCCCAAATTAGCTTGCCCAAAGCTTGAGAACTGGCTCACAGGCAGACCGACCCCCTGCTGCGTTTGGATCTGTGCCTTTTCAGTTGATTCTCAATCTCCAGAGGATATCAATTAAACCTCTACTATATTCTGCAGGCTGTGTCTGTTTGTCACACACACAAAAAACTTATTTGACTGGAACAAGGCTTTAGAAGAACAACCTGCTGTGGGGAGGTTAGATAACAGGCTTTTAACACAGTAGCTGCACTTCAAACCTCTCAGACCTTTGACTTCTCGAGGCTAAGACTAGAATATATCAAGGATTTTAAATGCTCTTGAAATGACATACTGATACTACGAGTGCTTTGAAACAGAGTGGAGTATTACTGAGCGATAGTGTATCTGGGGTCTTTAAACTCATTCATGAAAAACATTAGAGATTACCCCCCCCCCCAATTCGATGCTTGGCATCTTGAGTGCCATGGATGGGGGATAGTGTCCAATTGACACTGAAACATCAGAAAAGAGGTTTTACTTTTTCAGAGCAGGTTATTAAACTGCTTCTTCTAGCAGTTAATACCCACACTTCGAAAGGAAAAGCCCACACCTATAACTCACACACAAATCAAAGATGTCAGAAGCTATCAGAATAGCTGCCTTCAGACTCACATCCTAAAATAATGGGATAGCTGTTCCTTGTTTTAAATCAATTCAGTCTGCATTATTTAGCATTTCTAATATTGGAAAGCTGGACAACCTTCTGAGAAGTCACAGTAAAGTATCAGTAAAATACTTTGAGGAAGACAGCTTCTATAAAAAGATGTATGCTAACTGGGATTAACCTATATTTAAAAGAACAGTAATCAGAAAGGGACATTTCATTAACAACTTTAATTATTTCCAAATCCCTATACAGGTCATACCCCATTAACACCAAGGGCGCTTTTTTTTTATTTTTAATGTACTTCGCAGCTCTATAAGTCATTCCAATGAACAAATTTTTTTTTTTTTTTTTTTTTTTTTAAAGGGGGTTTTCTGGCCTGAAAGCGCAGCAACTTGCATTCTCCCAGCCTCTATCGTCTCCCCTCTCAAGGTTACAGTTTTCCTGGAGCATTGTGCAGGGGCTGCGATGTAACTTTGTGCTCCAGGGACCTCAGCTGATGTCTGATGCCTCTAGCTTGGAGGGATGGAGTTCCCACCGCTGTTCATGTAACTGTGCTACTGTTAACTACTCATGTAACTGGAGAATTTTCTTTAATGAGAATAAGCTGTGAAGTTTTAGTTGCAACAGAAGATAAGGAATGTTTTAAGTTGCTAGTCAATACCTTTTCACTCTAAACAGTGTCAGTCTTGCCCAAAGGATTTAGTCGCTACTAGGTTAACCTCGAATTGCTCAACACTAGAAGTTTTAGCAGCACAAGATTTTTATCTGTACTGCATGAGACAGCAAGGTAAAAAGGAAAGCATGCTCCTCTTTTTGTTGAATATTCATTTGGTTTTGCCAAGAAACCTGAGAGACTTCATCAGCCTCCTAAGAAAAGCCATAAATCCTGGCTAGCACACAGGAATAAGGTACAGAGACACTCCAAGACCTATGTGAGCACAGTTGTACCTGAGAAACTGTCTGGTCTCATCAGCTTTGCAAGGGTTTCCTGAGGATGAAGTTCACCCCAACATGTTTTCTGTCCTCTGGGTTAACTGACCTAATATGTATCAGTGTGACTAAGTTTCGGGCTTGCACACATGTTGCTTGAAACACAGCTTCAGCAATAGGAGCTCTGTTGCCTGTACCCATCAGTCAATAAAAAACAATCAGAGGCTTGGTATTTTGCTAGACAATGCATTCTACTAGTCACAGCCATTCTAGAATTAAATAGAGATTATATATTTCCAATTTTCACACAGTTGTAGCTACAGAATAATCCAGAGGTGGTTTCAGTGGTGCTCGAGTGCCAGCTGCATACATGCCGTGTGTGACTATGCAGAATGTTTAGAAAGACAGTTACCTCATTTTCCTGGGTGAAATCGAGAGCATCTTCCCCTGATGCAAGCAGGGTATGAAGAATCCTTTGTTTCACCTGTTCCCATTCAACCAGCATTGATTCTCGATGATATTCCTCAGCCATAGCAAAAGTCTGTCGGTGAAGAAGAACAAGAGCTGAGGAACATACAGAAACACCAAACAGCCTAGCTCTGCTATTAATAAACCAGCCTAAAATGAAACAGAAAATAGCAGCTAGATAAATCAACTAGGTCAGCCCTCAAGAGCTAATAATGTGCTGCATATTATTTTAACCAGCTTCCTCTTCAGGTATGAGGGGATACAGAAAGTAGGGGTGTGTGGAATTCAGACAACTCTCACGTACCCCCAGCTGGTAAAACAGGGAATCTGTCCCTCTTCCACGGTACCGCAATACACACAAAACTTAGCAGGCTGGAAGTCAGTAGGCTTCTTTCTTTAGTTTACAGCATGCACACAATATCCAGGTCATCACAGATCCATGTGGTTTGTTGAGACTACCTTCTCTAATGGCAACTAACTTTTCACCTCCCTGGAGACTATAAAGGTTTGACTTCTTGCATTCTTAACAGAGACATGGGTTTGTTGTTCATATTTCACTTTCAGGCCTTCATCAGTATGTTTTCTTTTATCTTTTCCTATTTCCCTTTGAAAGAAAAAGTATTCAGGAAAACTAACCAGTGCCAAAGAATCAGAAAGTCTCTCTCACATCAAGAACATAACACAGGAAAGCATGTAGGAAAATAATACCCCAAGAAAAAACATCCTTTTACCTTTAAAATGGCTGATGTGCTACATTGTCTTCAGACTTAGTTGGAGAACTCATGGAAGAAAACAGCTTTTCCCTTGATGTTCCTTGTTTTGGCAATAGCATTAGGGTAGCGAAGATGCTTCACTACCTTTCCTGTTATTGTTGGGGTAATGCTAACTAGCAGCCTCCAGTATACCAGGACAGGAAATACAAATATTTCCACTAATTCTAAACAGATAATAAGCCATATTGGATCTTCTACTTCTTTCCCTTTCCCAACCTACTCTTTCATATAGCTCTGTGCTGCAGCGTAATGAAATGACTTGGTTGGCTGAGTAAGTTTTTCATCTCATTACAGCCCACTGTTAGGATATTGTCAATTAAAGGGCAAAACATTCCCCAGTATAAATGGATTTCATAAATTTATAAATGAATTTATATGAGGCAGTGACATTTGGCAAACATTTAACTATGACGTGTGCATGCAACTAGAGCATAAGAGTTATGTTGCTTTGTTTTAGTGTATAAATTCACTTTATGCTTTCATAGTAGAATATAGGTCTTATCCTTCACTATAATAATTTCAACAGGGTTTACAGTACAATTATATGTAATTAAAATAATGTAATAATGCATAAGTACTATTTCACACCATTTGAAAGAAACACAGGCTCCGTTCTAAACCTGATGCCCCAAGTGTACATTGTAACATAAGCGCTAGGAAGCACGCAATGACATTTCCAAGCAGCAGTTTGAAGACAAACAACAGGCAGCATTTTTCCACACTGCATAATTCAATTGTGGAAATCATTGCCCCAGAACATGACAGATACCAAAAGCATAAATAGACTCAGAAACAGGAGCAGATGAATTTCACATAAGAAAACAACTTCCACTTCATAAAATCCTTAAAACAACTACTTGCTTGGAGGCGAAGAGACAGGAGATGAACGGAGGAAGGCTAACTACCTCTGTCTTTTTTTGCTTACAAACTGCTGAAGTTCTGGCTCCTTTCGAGGGCAGAAAACTGGACTCAGCAAACCTGAAGCGACAACTTCTGCTTTCTTACTACAGTGTTTTCCTTAGCACTGCTCCAAAAACTTTTTTTTTTCTATAGGAGAGATTTGCTTTGGACAGCACGATGCAGTATGGTGTTCTGGCTTCTCTAGAAGAAGAGGAGCTAAGCCTTACAGCACTTCTGCTGCATAGGCTTGAATGTGGTCGTATGTACTTCAACTTCTGTAACCTGAAGAAACAGCTATAATAAATTCATTGAGCATCGTCACTGTAGCGAAAGTCAGCGCATGTGGCATTTCTCAAAGGAAGTAAAGCCCCTGTCCTAGCGTTCTCATCTCTAGAAAAGGCAGCATCCATGTGGAGAGGGGCGGAGCGAGTGTACTGCGCCTCACGAACAACAGCTGCTCTGTTCAAACAGATTTAACAGGGTGAGCCTCCTGACCCTGCAAAACACCGCAGCTGGAATACAACTGACAAGTATTTGTCCTGGAAATTCTAAGCAAGTATTTCCTAACACCTCATTTTTCTATATTCTCAATACAATCCTCTTCAATTCCACTAGTTTATTAAATATCTAGTTTATTAATTCCATAGGGGAACCTCCCCATTTTTTTTTTTTTTTTTAAAAAAAGAAGGTGCTTCCATTCAACTTACCCTCTTCCTAGACTCTTCAATAGCTGACAACAAGGCATTATCTTTTTCATTCTTCAGGAATCCCTGCAGAAAAGCAGAAACAGAGCTTCTGTCAAAAAAATCAGCCTTGCACTAACATCAGATACATATTGTAGTACTCAGCTCTTTCAACCCAGAAGTGCTCATAGCTCTCCCCGTGATCCACTCCCGAGAAGTTTAAAGGTCACTTTACTTCATCAGAGGTACAGTAAGATGCCCATACAGAGCAACGTGAAAACGAAAATGCATTCATCCCCTGTTTTAATATGCATTAAATCTTAGTGAAATGCCCTGCTTCTATTCTCTTTTATCTCTGTGTCCCAGCAACTGCTTCCTCTTGCTCTCCATTTCAGGGAGCGAGATGAAAGCTGGTAGGAGTGATAAGCCAAGATAAGATTGTTGGACTCGAGTACGTTGAAAAAAAAAAATAAAAAATAAAAAAGGTTTCGACTTGGCAGCTTCAGGCAGGAGTGGAGCTCTTGGAGGCCCGATAGAAACAGTGAAAAAGAGCCTTAAAAATAGTCAGTTGAGAAAAGATGGAAATAACTAAACAGTTGGAGAGCATACAAGAAGAGTTTACCACACAGCCTCTCTCCGTGCATACAGCTGCCGTGTGTAAAAAATAATGCTTAGGAATTGTATTTTTAATTTTCAGTACATCACTAAATCTCAGAGGTCAGGTGTACGTGAACACACTTAGATGAGCTGTTAGCTTCTTATCCCAAAGGTTACTTTCATGATCCACACTAGAAAACATATGGTATTTAGAATTTTAAACAAATGGCTGCGGGGTAAACCGCAGTAACACACAGTCACCAAACAGGAAGCATTTATTACACCTTAACTTGAGTATCTCTAGTTTGCATTTTCACTGTTATATCACCAGTTAAACAAACCAAGCTGATGTGTAGTCCCAGACCGCAACTTAATCATTATTCAAACCATAAAACAGGAAAAGAAGCCTTTGTGTCCCTCCAAAGTAATCAACTATAACATTATCAACTCCACCAAGTACTAATACCTTAAGAGCCTGTATGCTCACTCCACAGCTCGAAAAGTGAGAGCTGCTAACAAATCCAGGCAGTGGGAATTCCACGTTAGCACGCTTTATGCTTTTACGATGAGGATACACAATTGCAGCAATGCCTAACCAAACCCGTCAGGAATCAGGGCTTTTGCATCCTCCGTTCCCCACATCTTACTGCAAATAAATGGTTTCGGACCCAACAATCTGACAGTATCAGTACTGATCCACGCAACCTAGTTAGAGCTCAGGATCTCCAGAGGAGCGCAGATCCTGCGGCAAAACAGAAATTTGCTGTCATGAGAATTTGGATATTTGGGAAAATACATTTATAGTAGGCCGTAGAAGCAATCCTGCAGCAGCACCACACGCAACCACATTAGCTCTGGGGGTGAGGAGGGCTTGAAATTTCGCCAAAGTTAAGAAATCTGCCGCATAGGTGTGGCGTCTGCCTCGCTGCTACCCCGCAACGGTATGTGAAATAAAGGGCATTGCACCCTTTCATTCTGAATACATAGAACAAGCATTTGCGGTACAGGACAGCCTGTGACCCCCTCCAGCTGGGCACAGGAACATGACTCCTCTCTGTACACCAGATAGAGAACGAACTGTCGTCCTCCGAGACAGACATGTGATGCGCTCCCCCCAGAAACAGCCCTTGAATGACATACAAAAGAGAGCGGCCACTGCTACGCAGCCTGTTCTTCACTGCATCGTCCGCCACGGCCCGCTTTATCTTTAGACAACGCCCGCAGAGGAAGTGCAGTTACAATCTGAGAAAGGGAAGCTAAATCCAGATCCTTGCACATGTCTGGGGACCAGCTATTACAGCAGCTGTCACCAAGGCAAGAGCTGCCGCAGTCACCTAACTGGGCCGAGACCCAATCTCCGCTCCGTGTGGGAGAGCTGGGGAGGGATGGAGACCTGGCTTTGTAAGGTTTGTCTGTGTCTGCATGGGTGCAAGGACTTTGGGAAGGCAACAAGTTGAGCTGTGGTGGGGTTTTTTTGGTGGGTGTCCCCCCCCGCATCTCTAACCTCAATTGGAGAAAAATTATCTGGAGTTATAACAAGCAGTGCTTCTCGACCTCCAAAGCACACAACATATGAGCAGAAGACACAGCCACATTTCTGATGTTAGGGACCCGATGCTGCAGAGAACACTGTGTGTTTGCCGTATCCTAACGACACTGCTAATTTTGCAGGCAAAAAAACCCCCACCATCTCCAAGATGCAGACCTACAGCTATCCGGAGGCGATGGAAGGTGCTGAGTGTGCCAAGCCAAGCAGCTTGCAGAAGTCCTGGGTGCCCTGGCTCCCTGCTTGCTCTGTGAGCACGGCGTTCCTGAAAGCACCGAGATGTATGAGTCCTGTCTCGCTGCCCTTGGTCCTCCCTTCCCTCCTTGGAGGGATGTGTGCCCTGAGCTGTGCAGGTACCTGCCTAGAAAGGTACACAGCAATTATAGTAATCGGCAGAGAAATTTAAGATGTGCTTGAACTTCCCTTGAAGTCCATAAATCCAGGCTGGGTATCTTTCTTAATGAAACCTCCCAGCTCCCAGAGAGTTCGCTCGGTCCATTTAAGGGATTACATTGCACCAAATGCCAATTAGGGGATGATAATTGTCTTTTTCAATCTCAAGAACTACTCCTTTAGCAAACAAAAACCCTCACACATTCCAAATAATATCTGTAATGCCTCACTGAGAGCAGCAACATTTTAAAAAGGCTGCCCTATGTCTTGTGCTAAACATTATGACTGCAGCATGACAATTGCTGCTTCAATTAATTACAGGCTAATTGTTAAACCTCAGAAGAGGGAGTTGCAGCAGCTGATGCTGGGCCTCCTGCTAGTGCTCAGGAGAGTGCTTCTGCTTAGTTAGGCCAAACAAGAGCTCCTGGGGATGTCACACTAGGCTTTGGTGGCCAAAATGTCACACAGTAAGAAAGCGAGAAGCGCCCAGCGGCTGTAACAGTATTTATTCCCGGGGTTTATTGCATTGCCACCTAGTGGTGTACGATGCTTGGTCACTGGGCATTCGGATTGCACGGGTGTAAACAAACACACACACCTGCTATAAGGAAAAGCAGAGCTCTCTGGAACAAGAGTGGGCAGAAAGAAGAGATGTGCTTTACGCTAAAGAATCTGGGTCCTCAAACATCCCAGGCCACTTACCAGTTTTAAGCGTTCCTGTACCTCTTAAGTCTGAACCTTGAACAGTGCTGGCTGTGCTCCCTGCGTTACACCTGTCCTAAAAGCTTTCTGCAGTCCCAGAGGCAAGGTTTGACTTTGCCACGAACGCTTGCAGACTGCAGCAAGGATACGGAGGTACGGCGTTCAGCACGCGCAGGGAGGATGCGACCCATATCGCAGGGGCTGCCCTCTCAGGGGAGATGCTATGACTGCACGACGAGACATTGCTTCATATCCAGTATCCAACGAGAGAAGCAGGAAGAGAAAAGAGATATTGTTAGGAGACAAAGGGCTGTTTCACAGCAGCAGATGGCAAGGATAGGAATAGCTAACACAAGCATAGCTAACATCTCAGAGGTGAAAGCCTCACTTTGCAGCTCTCTGTGCACAAGCTCTGCCATTGCAGGGATCCCAACATAGCCTGGATTTTGCTTGAAAATGAAAATTTATCTTATTTCCCAGAGGCAGGTTTACACAAAAAGCTCAGAGCCCTAATGTCACATCATGCTGTCCTGCTTTAGTGAGTGGGATTTAATTTTCCTCTCTGTTACTGCGGGACTCCCACATATTCTTCCTGCGCCTAGTTTGAAAGGGAAGCAGCACAACCCTTCTCCATCAGAGGTTCTCTGCAACACTCGCTGCTGAATGTGTCCTACACAGGATTTGTACAGTGTCTGATGAGATGGTGTTTGCAAAACAGGGACACAGGCATAGAAATCCACCCACTCTCCCACCTTCAGGTTCCCACTTTGCAGCTAATCCCACTTACTCTCGCCTGTCTACTGGCTCTCAGCATCTTTCCTCAGCACATTCCAGTTCCTCTCGGATCCCTTATCCCTTGGACTCCAGGCTGATCTTCTCACACTCTCCCCTCGCTGCTGAAATTCAGCCGCGCTGGGCCTCTCCCCAGGATGGTTTGCAGAAGTGACCCCACCAGCGGAGGGGCAGGGCCCCGGGAGGCCGTGCCATGTCCCTGTTCTTGCCGTGCTCCTTGCTCCACTGTTATTTCTCATCTCAGGCAACCACTGCTTGACACTGGCTGATGTGACAGGAACCAGCACCTGCCTTGCTCCAGCCTGAATTCCAGCAAGAAAGTGTTCCAGTAACTAATTCATTAGTGGCATGAAAGTGCACGCGTGCACTGATTGTCTCTTTTTGACAGGAGATTGAAGGTCTCTTCCATTTACCACAGTAAATGAGGTTAGTAAACTCTCTCCTTGCTGATAGAAGTCTCTTAATTACTTCCATCAGCCAGACCATAGTTTTAATACTTGATCTTAGTATTCTAGCTGTCAAGAGAAGGCAAATGTTGCCAAAGAGTATACTGAGGCCTTGATTGTTGACAGCAATGCTTACTTTTTCACTGGCAGGGGAAGAAAGGAGAAAACGAAATGAACAATCTGGGGCCATTTCAAGTCAATTACTCTGATTAAAATATTTCCAAGTGCTGGATTTCCAGTGGATCCAGTGAATCTGCAAAGCACCAGTAGGGATGATGATTATATGGTTGACAATAACAACAAAAAAATCACCCTTCAGCAATGGTTTGGGAACAGTAGCTACAGATGAAGCACCTGACTTTATTATCTCTACTAGCAATTCTAAGAAAATATGTGCTGAATACAATCCTACTGCACACATGCACATGTCTGAGCACAGTGGTGTGCCCTGGCACAGCCCTCCTGGCCATATTCTGTTGAAAATGAAGCAAAACTACCTGGAGCCCACTGCCACGATAACAGACCATACTATGTATTATTGCTTTTTTTAAATCCATATTATTGTTTATGCTGACACAAGCATCAGTGCTTGCTGGCTAGCTTTAAACAGA